CACAGAATATTCTGTTCCCTTTGATAGACACTCGCAATGAGTTTAGAGTCTCTGCCATAATAGTGCAGTATTTCTTGAAACCAATGCTCATAAATACCCGATTCTCTCGCATCCATAATCCTATTCATTACAATTAAAAATACATTTCAAAGTTTATTATAACATAAAAATGTAACATCAATCATTTCTATACTGATTTCTGATAACTTATTACTGATAACTTATTCTGATTACTGATTACTTTAAAATGTATTCAGGATTTTTATAAACAATTAAATATACTTACATTTGATTGAATCCAGGTCTAATAAACTGTTCGGATTCGCTATACATTGTGGAAAAATATGGCGAAAAGCCCAACCCTTTGCGAGACACATGCAATAAATCAGTGATGGGTAGACCCTCGTTGGGCTCATCATACTTTCTAAAGTTAGATATTAAAAATATAGCAGTCATGCGATTGTACGCCATGGCATATGACCCAGTTCTTAGTTCCTTGCTTATTTGTCTATGAAATTCTTCATCTAACCACATATTAGACGGGTATTCAATCATACGCTCTTTGATTCCTTGAGCTATTGAATCCGATTCCCCTTTCATAACGTAATCATATAGCGTACTATCGTTTGTTATATACACTTGAATGCCGTCCCATTTGGACAGATCTTCGAGTGAGTCTATCATTCGCACCGGTATTACATATTTCATATAATCCAATAGAAATCCCGTGAATTGTATGGTTAGTATGAGGGACGACACTATCCATATGCCTATTATCCCTTTGACACGAGATCTATGATTGACTACAAACTCTTGTAACGACTTTTGGTACAACATTATGAATAGATTCCATATGTTTTCGTACAAATCTCGAGCACTGGTATTACATCTGATGGACAATACCAGTGCCAAGATTATCAAAGATAAGATTATTGATAACCAGACACTTGTGGTAAAGCATGTGAAGTAAGCAAACATTTGTATGGATGCCGGTCTGGTTGCGGCCACAATTGTGGACAACTCGAGATAATCGACAACATACGAGGCCTCGTATATAATATTATACTCTTTGAATGCTTTTAAGTTTGAGATAACCTTAGAGGTAATCCATGGCGTGAGTATAATATCGGGAAATCCGCTGTACATTAGCTTGATAAATTCTGCCCTCGATGTTGGCATTTGTTTCATTACCAATCTATTCATGACACAAATTGTAACACTTGTCGCAAATAATACCACAAACCTTATCAAAGTATTACTTACGATGACTTTTCTCTAATGGCGAACTCAATCATCAGTTTGATTAGTGGGCCACAAATCCTATACATATTATCGCCAATTCTATGTTAGCGAGGTAATATTTTTAATAATATATAGTAAAACATTTAAATTAATATTACTGTCGTGTGAATATATACGGTAGCATTGGTATGGGCTGAAAATATACACTCCTATTCGGGTAGACATCACCGAAATTATAGGTTTCCTCTTTTGTGAAATTATAGCATTGATTAGAGTACATGTCCACTGATTATAGTTATAATTTATGACTTATGAATTAAACTAATATTGTGTCCATTAATCTGTAAAATATTTTTACATTTATGGATCAATTTGTTTTGTATTTACAGTATAAGTGAAGACATTTCAAGACTAGACAATTTATAATTGATATATTTCTTAAACTTGTAAAAAATTGTAAACAATATTTTTTCAATAAATATAGACTTCTTATAAATATTCATATATTCGATAATCAATTGAAATCTAATATTAGTAAATTGAAAATGATTTGAATATCATATGAATATTGTCTATGTTATACACTGAGGTAATAATGAATTAATTAGATAATATAAATATTTATAAAACTATTATAATACAAAACATTTCATTTTCCTTGGTCCTACTATACTGAAGTTGTTTATATTTTTGTGCTACATTACACTTACATTAATACTGTTGTGATAAACATTTATATCAATTATATTGCATGTTTACTATAATGATAACATTGTATTGAATAATAATTTTATAAATATAAAACTTTTTCATATTAATAATATTTGTATATACCTTATATAACATGGCTCAATTTAAAATAATGTCTTAAAGTGTTTATTGTGACTTTTAGGATAAAATAAAAATATTTCTAAAATTGTTGACATAAAGACTTTTGTTAAAGAATAGACTATAAAATTCTAACATTGTGTAAGGTATGGGACAGGTAGCCTACAGAAGTACAACTATTATGTTGTGACATACAAAACTGGTTTTATGCCATAGTATGGCTTATGTAATAATATTATATGCTGATCTTAATAAATAAAAATTAATTAATTTGCGCATATTAAAATGCATTGTGTTATTTAATTAAACAAGATAAATCAACTATAATTAAATAGAGCTACCAGCATCGAAATTTACTAAGATCCGATCAAAGCTTAACTTACAATACTAAATAGAAAATTAATACCGGTACTTTTCTAATTAAATTAAATGTCAATTGTATTTTTTCTCGCAAAAGTAAACTATTATAAAAATAAATTATATTATAAAATGTTAAACTAAATAGTAATAAATTATAGCAATATTTCTATTAAGAACTTAAAAATTAATTGTATATTGCGCAAATTTTATAAGATTTATTGTATAACTAGACAATATTCATAGTCTAATATCAATTCATTGAGTTTCCCTAAAATCAGTGATTATAATTTAAATTTTATAATCAAATCGATAAATAATTGTATTCAATTAGAAATCAATTTCTATTTATTAAAATTTGTTATTGCTCAAAGTTTGCTATAATTTGAGGGCTCATTTAATGAATCTATAATGATCAATTGTAAAACCATTAAATTATTATTAAACCATTATCTAATCTAATGTTACCTGATAAGTGTTTGTGATTATCTATTATCTTTTCCTAATCTAATGTTACCCGATTGAATGTTACTAATTAAATATGAATTTAATAAAAAGCACAATATATTCACAAACATTTATCAGGTAACATTAGATTAGATAATGAACATAGTTACAACAGAATTATTTAGGTATTACTATTATTATAAGTGAAATTGCACTTAAGGTACAATTTCAGTACTATGGGCACACGATCTGCTTACAATGTTGCTTGAGCATATTAGTTCATAAACTGCATTCAGTTTAGCTATAATGTTATTTAAGAACAATTCATATTTGAATCATCTCACAAACTAAAGTATTTCATAAACATTTTTTGTATTGTATATAAATTTATATAGAGTATTAGAATAGTTAAATACAATTTTTTATACTGTGAATAAAAGTAAATTATTTGTAATGAGAAAATAGTTTTATTTAACATTATGGTATATCAATATTCTGTGTTCCTATATAAAATAAAGTTGTTTCAAAGTTTTATAAACTATTGAGTATAAACTATTTGTTTTATAAAATATATTAAGCATACCAATTAAGTATTTGAAAAACTATTGAGCAATATAAAGTCAATTTATTACTTTGTGATTTACGTGAAATAAATAAAAGTGTAAAGTTTTAAACAGTTATTAATCATTTACATAATAAGTTATTACTAATAACTTACAAGATCAAATAATGACTGGTAAAACAAGTGATAACCCGTGAGTTATTGAGTGATACCTATAGAATATTCTTTAAATATCTATCAATATTAATAAAATTTTAAAAATAATTTTAATTAGTGATCAAAAAGCAAAAGATCTCCAATCGGATGACCCGGATTCACACCAAATATCCGCACCTTTCCTATCACTGGTTCGTACCCTATGATCGACTAATTTTACACAACTTTATCAAACTTTTCCCACAGTTTCGCTACTCATCGGGTTTCGACAAACTGCTAATATCTATAGGACTGGTATTTTCCATAGCCATCGGCGCCGGTACGCCAGCCATCATGATATTCTATGGCAAACTAACCGACACTTTCGTGGAGTACGCCATATATGACCGGTTGTCCCAATGGCCGGACGCCGACCAATACTATCGACACTTTCTCGCCAACATAACCGACAAACAGGAGTTTTTGGACAAAATCATGACTGACTTCTCGCACCTACACCTCGACACCATTCAGATTAGACTCCATTTGGATAACCAGACGTTCGCCGATCGGCTCAACGAAACGGTGTTTCAACACAAGCGGTCGTTCGCCGACAGGTTTACCGACGAATCGGATTACTGGAGTTTCCTGATGTTAGGGGTGAGCGCGGCGTTCCTGGTGTGCGGCTACGTATTGGTGGCCACGTTTAGCACCGCCGCCCGAAATCAGACTCATCGGATCCGTGTCCTCTTCTTCGAGGCCGTACTTCGTCAGGACATCACGTGGTTTGACACGAAAGCGTCGGACGACTTCGCCTCCAAAGTCACGGCGTATGGACTGGCTATTAGTTTCTCATTATTGTGTTTTCGTGCTTTTCTGTAGATTTTAGACTTTGTGTAGATTTTTATCACTAAATTCAATGTAAACTAAATTCAATGTATTTTTTCTGATAGCGATTTGGATCTCATTCAACAGGGAATTGGCGATAAAGTGAGTGATATTTATTTTGTCCATTGTGTAACACTCAATTACCTGGGTATTTTTAGGTGGCGCTCTGTGTGTTCTCATTCTCGACGGTACTGTTCTCATTGGGAACGGCATTCTACTACGGCTGGGAACTCACTCTAATCATACTGTCCATCTCACCCATACTTGTCATCTCATTCAGTGTCGTCACCAAAGTTTGTCATAAATTATTGACAATACTTTCCATTCAATTAACACTATAATCATTGCTTCCCCTCTCAGATCCAGGCCCGGTATGCCATCACAGAAGCCATTTCCTACGGGAAAGCCGGCGCTGTGGCCGAGGAGGTGTTGGGCGCCATTCGCACCGTCTATGCCTTCGACGGCCAACAAAAGGAGATCCAGAGGTACGACCGGAACTTAGGACCGGCTAAGAAGGCCGGCGTTAAACGCACGGTAATCACCGCTATCGGTGGCGGTATGATATGGCTGTGCGTATACGGCAGCTATGGGCTGGCATTTTGGTACGGCGTGCGGCTCATCGTACGGTCCATACAGGACAACAACCAGCAGTATGAGGCCAGCACTTTGCTCATCATATTCATGACGGTGCTGATGGCCAACATAAACCTGGGTCAGGCGCAGCCCTACTTCGAGGCCTTCGCACAGGCAAGGGGTGCGGCAGCTCTCATCTTTGAGGTAATTGAGCGCAAACCACATATCGACAGTTCCTCAGAGACTGGCGATAAGATCGTAGGCTTGGAGGGAAGGGTAGAGTTTTGTGACGCGCACTTCGCATACCCGGCCCGCCCGGCGGTGCCCGTACTGAACGGCCTGACTATGGCGGTAGAGCCGGGCCAGACGGTGGCGCTGGTAGGTGCGAGCGGGTGCGGCAAAAGTACGGTCATTCAGTTGGTGCAACGCTTTTACGACGTGAGCTCCGGTCAGGTGCTGATCGACGGCCGGGACATACGCGACCTGAACGTGGGTTGGCTCCGGGATCGCATCGGAGTGGTCGGTCAGGAGCCGGTGCTTTTCGGCTGCTCCATAGCCGACAACATTAAGCTCGGCTACAGTGCCGCCACTCAGGCGGACGTGGAGTCGGCGTCAGTGGACGCCAACGCCTACGACTTCATCCGACGACTGCCCCATCAGTTCGCGACAATTGTGGGCGAAAGGGGCGGGCAGTTGTCGGGGGGCCAGAAGCAGCGCATAGCCATCGCCAGGGCTTTGGTACGGCGACCGAAGATACTGCTTCTGGACGAGTCTACCAGCGCTCTCGACACCCAGAGTGAGGCCGTAGTGCAGGCGGCTCTGGACAGGGCC